ATAATTACAGTCGTTTGCCGCAGCGAACAGTGGCTGTACATTTTCCTGTAGGGATGGGCATTTGTTTCATATTGCTGCCACAACGGAAAAGTGCTCCTGCTGCAACTCACACTTTACCCTGAGGCTCTGAAAATGTTGCTCACTGGTCCTAATATGGGGGCGAGGCATTTTCAAGAATTATTCATTCGTATTGTGCCGCACATGCGCTAACTTCATTCTGTGCTACAGTCGACCAAATTCTTGGAATTGGCCTTACTGTTTCAGAATCAGTGGTATCTGTACCATAAGCTAATGCCAACAGCCCACGAGCTGATCGGTAATGCAAGAGTATTAAATGTTCTGGGACGACGAAATCAATAAAGTCGTCTTAAGTCTCATGAAAACCTGCTAAACCTAGGCATTTACAATGGCGATTGTGGCAATGCGCTCGAATATCATGACGGTGGTGTTTAGGAACAAAATCTCCCCGTATACTGTAAGGTGCATGTGTATAAATCTAATGAAGCGGTTCAGTTCCGAATGGGTAATGCCATGAACAGAGGATGTCATGGACACATTATCCTCACAATAGAAGAACCAAATTTCCGCCTATAGACGGCCAGCGTAGCGGCCGCAGGCTGCTAGTCGTTTCTTTACTTACTCGGCGTAGCGGAGAGCGCCCCGATCCCGGGTCACCTTTCTCGCTGGAAGCGCAGGGCTCACGCAGTCCCGCGCGATCCGATTCGAGGACATTGTCAGGCAGGGAGTTTGACTGAGGCGGTACATCTGTCAAGGGCCAACGCAGGTGTCCTAAGGCCAGCTCAGCGAAGAAATATGACCTCGCGTGGGGCAAAAGGTGGCTTGATCTTGATTTTCAGTACGAATACAGACCGCGAAAGCGGGGCCTATCGATCCTTTTGACTCGGGAGATTCGATCAAGAGGTGTCAGAAAAGTTACCACAGGGATAACTGGCTTGTGACGGCNTTGAAGAATGTATGATTTTAGTGAGAAAGGATGACATGGTACTGGGACCGGTTGGCGTCTCACGCATTGCAATGCTGCACAGCCCCCCCCCCGCACAGCACCCCCCCCGCACAGGCCCCCCCCCCCCTCTCGGGGAATAAAAGTGAAGATATGGATCAGTAAGAAGGGAAGGAAAAGAATAAAAATAATTGTGCCCAGTATAGCGGACACCTGCAGTCTTTCCCAAAGAAAAGTGTTCCTTATATATAGGACACTTGGAAGCAAAGAGAATTGGTCCTTGTATAGTGGACACCGGGAAGCAAAGAGAATTGATCCTTGTATAGTGGACACCGGGAAGCAAAGAGAATTGATCCTTGTATAGTGGACACCGGGAAGCAAAGAGAATTGGTCCTTGTATAGTGGACACTGGGAAGCAAAGAGAATTAATCCTTGTATAGTGGACACCGGGAAGCAAAGAGAATTGGTCCTTGTATAGTGGACACTGGGAAGCAAAGAGAATTGGTCCTTGTATAGTGGACACCGGGAAGCAAAGAGAATTGGTCCTTGTATAGTGGACACCGGGAAGCAAAGAGAATTGATCCTTGTATAGTGGACACTGGGAAGCAAAGAGAATTGATCCTTGTATAGCGGACACCTGGAGTCTTCCCCTAAAGAAGAGTGTTCCTTGTATAGTGGACAGCTGAGTGTCCACTATACAAGGTTCCATCTGTCTGTACTCGAACTTTTCTCTCTTTCCTGTCCATTCGATGCGATGTCAATCCTTCTGAAGCGAATATTGAACACCGCTATTCCATGGCGAATCCATCGGTACTTCGTTCGTGCAGCTGGGATGCATAGTATTGGCTCTCGATGGGGGGAGAATCGATCGATGCACGCTCAAGTACTTCTATCACAGAGAGTGGACTGACTAACGGGTCCCTCGCCGGCCGGGAGATATATATGAGCTGGTGCGTGTCTCTGTGTGCTGCCGATGCGGGAACCGTCCGGAGAGAGAAAAGCTTCTCTCCTCCCGGTTGGAAACCGCGTCTCTGCGAACAGGACTGCGTCGGTTTGCCGTAGCGGTACCCTGCGACGCACGGCCGAGCCGCAGCGGCTGCTCCCGAGGACGACGGATCGGGCGACGCGCTCTTCTCTCATCGAGAGTCGGTGTGCGTTTCCCCTCGCTGTCGAACTCGCGACGGCGTGCGGTTGTGGCTGCCGGGAGTTCTCGTGCTCCTCCCGGCGCTGCTCATTGCGGGGCAATAGACGTTCGACGTCTCGGGCACGGAGTCCGCAATCCGATCGAGTCGAGTCCCTCCACGGGGGACTCCCCGCTCGGAGCGCGGAAGCGGGTCGAGCTCGTCTCGACACCAGGAGAGTTACGACCGCGGGCACCTCTCGGCGGGAGATTTCCTGCGAGAGAGGCGATCCCGGGAAAGCGGTCCACGAACACAAACCGTGTTGTTTCCCTCGAGATTTGCAAGTGGTGGAGAGATGCCATCCCTCCTGCCGACGAGCGAAAGTCATGCGACGCACTCGATGCGGCGTCGCACCACAACTGCAAGGTGGCGACGAACACGGCACACGGAGTCCGCTCGGACTCGGAATCGTGTGCGTGCGGTCCGAGAGAAATCTCGCCCAAAAACGAGAGTAACCCGGACGGCGGGCACCATCGGCTAACCGAAGCGACGGATCGCTCGGGAAGGATCGTCGACCGAGTGTGCGAGACGGCCGGATATCAAGGGCGTGCACTGGCGCCTCTGGCCCGTCTCGCCGGATTCGTGTCTTGACGAGCACCCCCGGCGGTCGGCCTCGTGCGTAGGATTGCCGTGGATGTTCCGAGAGAAAATGTCTGGCTGTTACCTGGTTGATCCTGCCAGTAGTCATATGCTTGTCTCAAAGATTAAGCCATGCAGGTCTAAGTACGTGCCGAAATAAGGTGAGACTGCGAACGGCTCATTACATCAGTTATGGTTCCTTAGATCTCCGACGTTTTACTTGGATAACCCTGTTAAATCAGAGCTAATACATGCCTAGAAGCCCCGACCCTTAGGTGGGAAGGGGCGTTTTTATTAGATCAAAACCAGACGGGGACTTGTGCCCCGGAACTCTCTGGTGACTCTGGATAACTTTGGACGGATCGCACGGTCCTGGCACCGGCGACGTATCTTTCAAATGTCTGCCTTATCAACTTGATGGTAGGTTATGCGCCTACCATGGTGATAACGGGTGACGGAGAATCAGGGTTCGACGCCGGAGAGGGAGCCTGAGAAACGGCTACCACATCCAAGGAAGGCAGCAGGCACGCAAATTACCCACTCCCGACACGGGGAGGTAGTGACGAAAAATAACGATACGGGACTCATCCGAGGCCCCGTAATTGGAATGAGTACACTTTAAATCCTTTAACGAGGATCTATTGGAGGGCAAGTCTGGTGCCAGCAGCCGCGGTAATTCCAGCTCCAATAGCGTATATTAAAGTTGCTGCGGTTAAAAAGCTCGTAGTTGGATCTCAGTCGCGGTCGGGCGGTCCGCCGCAGGGCGGCACTGCTCGAACCGGACAATCGGCCGGTTGCTCCCGGGATGCTCTTCGCCGGGTGTCCCGGGTGACCGGAACGTTTACTTTGAAAAAATTAGAGTGCTCAAAGCAGGCCGGTCGCCTGAATAGTCGTGCATGGAATAATGGAATAGGACCTCGGTTCTATTTTGTTGGTTTCCGGAACCCGAGGTAATGATTGATAGGGACAGACGGGGGCATTCGTATTGCGACGCTAGAGGTGAAATTCTTAGACCGTCGCAAGACGAACTACTGCGAAAGCATTTGCCAAGAATGTTTTCATTAATCAAGAACGAAAGTTAGAGGTTCGAAGGCGATCAGATACCGCCCTAGTTCTAACCATAAACGATGCCAACTGGCGATCCGCCGACGTTATTCACATGACCCGGCGGGCAGCTTCCGGGAAACCAAAGTTTCTCGGTTCCGGGGGAAGTATGGTTGCAAGGCCGAAACTTAAAGGAATTGACGGAAGGGCACCACCAGGAGTGGAGCCTGTGGCCCAATTCGACTCAACGCGGGGAACCTCACCAGGCCCGGACACTAGAAGGATTGACAGATTGAGAGCTCTTTCTTGATTTGGTGGGTGGTGGTGCATGGCCGTTTTTAGTTGGTGGAGCGATCTGTCTTGGTTAATTCCGATAACGAACGAGACCCTGGCCTACTAACTAGACGGCGGATTCTTTCCGTCCGCCTCGTCTTCTTAGAGGGACAGGCACGCGCTTAGCTGCACGAAATGGGGCAAAAACAGGTCTGTGATGCCCTTAGATGTTCTGGGCTGCACACGCGCTACACTGACGGAGGCAGCGTGTGTTCCCTGTCCGAAAGGACCGGGTAACCCGCTCAATC